TTCCGAGCAGCGAAGCTTACGCCCATTCGCATTAATTCATCCAAAGTTCCTTACCCTTATGCACGAATTCTTGAATTGGAATAAGCCATCTTCCTATCAAGGTTAAGGAGTCAACTGAGCATCTCAGCGGCGGGATTGAATACCCGGATCGAATCAGAGTTCACGCCGCCCGCCCTGAACAAATAGGAGGCGTGGGCCACAGGTCGCACATAAGCCGCCGGGTCGCACGACAGAAGAACACCCAACATAAAGATGCACACTCCTCCATGTGAAATATTCATCTTGATTAGAGCTTTTTGGTAGTAGTCGTGACCAACAGCCATCAGCTGTCGGCTCGTTGGTAAGGTGAGAGCTTCAAGCCCGATTTCTGATGGCGCACCCCCCACACAAGCACCGCCTGACGAAGGGGGGGCGGAGAAAGCTACAGACCTAAAATTTCCTTCGACCCTTCTTTCTAAATGGGGGTGCCGGGGACACCTCATCTTGTCATCTCGTCGTTGCTCATTCCCGTTAGGCCAAAGTCTTTGGCCTTTCCTTCTCCGCGCCCGCTCACGCTTCGCTGACTTATCGCGTGGTAAAAAGAAGAAAGTACAAAAGAATAGTAAACAGAGCACACCGCAGAAAGATTCTAAATATGAGAAGTCAGCCTTGGATTCGAGAAGAAGGAAATGAAGAACGAGAACGAAACGAAATAAGGCGTTTCTAGCTCTAGTTTCGGATGAGCTTCTCCCAATTATGTCTGAAAATAAAATAGGGCGGCTTGCTCTGACCAAGACAGAACTTTTTGCTCTGTTCGTGGAGCGTATGAATTTCCTTGAATGTAGATAGACCAAAAGAGGGAATGAAGGGATAGGAATAGGAATTATAGTAACATTATAAAAAGGGGCACCTGTGGGAACATCTCTACTGACGAACCATTTCAATAGTACGGGTGCTGCCGTGCCACGAGGCACGACCATGGAAGTAATTAAAAAGAAAAAGTTATGTAGTTGGACCATCTGTTCTATCCGTTCTAGTTTTGCTTCTCTAGAGAAAATGAGAGGCTAAAAAGAAAAGTGTTCGCAACACATACCGAAAGGAGACTAATTAAGCCGACCATTAACGACTAGTTCGAACACCAGGAGTGGTCTGATCAAATAAGGGATCAGACCGCTCTTAGAAAGATAAAACAAAAGCAATCATGAAACTGGCATACCTTTCATCCACCCTACAATCCGATCTTTCTTTTTATATGAAATTTATAGTTAAGATTACCTTTCTTACCTAAAAGTAGCCTTTCTCTTTATATACGATAGCACCGATGATAGATTCTGGGATCTCTTCTTGGCGAATTTCTACGCTTGTAAATGATGGGTGTCATACTCACTCGTAGATGCTTGGTGTCAGAAATTTTCACTGATCAGGTGTTATCAGTCTCATCCGTGTAAGAATTAGGAATTCCTATTCCAACTCGTCCCAGAATGGGCGTTATGGCAAAAAACAAGAAGAAAACAAAAGGAGAAATTTGTCCAATAGTAACAAATGGTGCCTCCACAGGTTGACACCCGATCCAACCTAGTAGTAAGCAATCCGCTAAAAGCAACCAAAATATTCCTTGGTGAATCGGGCGAAAACTTGAACTACGTACATACATACTTTTAAAAAAAGGTAAAGCCAAGAGACATATAAAAACTAGTGCTATTGCAGCTACACCTCCCGCTTTGTCAGGTATACTACGAAGAATGGCATAGATCGGTAGGAAATACCATTCCGGCACAATATGAGGCGGGGTGGACATTGGATTAGCAGGTATATAATTGTCGGGATGCCCCAAAACATTAGGAGCATAAAAAATCCAAATAGAAAAAAAGATAGCAAAAGCTACCCAACCTACTAGATCCTTTACATAAAAATAAGGATAAGAAGCAATTTTATCCATCTCTGAATGTACACCCAATGGATTATTTGATCCATATTGATGCAATGCGGCCAGATGAAGAATACTGGCGCCTACTAAAATAAAGGGGAGTAAATGATGAAGACTAAAAAAACGATTTAAGGTGGCATTGTCCACGGAGAAACCCCCCCAAAGCCAAGTAACTATGGTATCTCCTACTACAGGTATGGCGCTAGCTAAGCTTGTAATTACTGTAGCTCCCCAAAAGCTCATCTGACCCCAAGGTAGTACATATCCTATAAAAGCTGTCACAATCATTAATAAGAAGATTACAACTCCGAGACACCAAACAAATTCCCTAGGACTGCTATAACTCGCATAATATAGACCACGAAAAATATGAAGGTGAACCACAATGAGAAACATACTTGCCCCATTAGCATGCATATAACGGAGCAACCAGCCCCCTTCAACATCTCTCATAATGTGTTCTACGCTGTTGAAAGCTAGATCTACATGGGGTGTGTAATGCATAGCTAAAAAAATGCCAGTTACTATCTGAATGACTAAACAAAGCCCAGCTAACGAACCGAACCCCCACCAATAACTAAGATTGCTCGGGGTTGGATAATCTATCAAATGTTGATTAAGTGTGGAGGATATAGGTTGTTTAAGAAGAGATAATCGTTGGTTCCTTATAGTCATTTCTTTATTTCCCTATTATTATATTGTTACAAAACTCTTGTTCCCCCACCTTTTAGCCTTCTGGGGCCCTACTATATATATAAATAGAAAGTACCCTTTCTTCCACCCCCTAAGGGGGGTATACAGCGAAAGAAGCGTCGAAGAGGTCGGGTCATCCTGAGTTACTGAAGAGTCGTCTGACTACTCGATGAAAGGAGGCAAAGGTATGTGGGATAAAGAATTTAAAAAGGAGAAAACATTTCGTCCACCAAGCGGGACAGGGTGCGAGCCCTAAGCAATTGGGGGTCCATATCATCTGATAACTTTTCCTATTCCATTAGCATAGAATAGGATGATTCAGCGTCAGGAAAAGGAAGCCCACTTGCCTTGATTGAATTTGGCTTCGCTGCGCCTTGAATAAAAAAAGCTTATTGTTTTGATTCATCCCATTTCGTTTGGGTGAGAGGGAGGCTGTGAGTCCCCTGGGCTACGGATTTGTCGGTTGGTTGATTATCGAAATCACCTTTTTTTTTCAAAAAGGCCTCGAGTCCAGACCCACAAATAAATAGGAAGCGAGGTGAGGGTCTTTCATTAAAGGGGGGAAAAGGAGGGGTGAGGCTTTGTTCTGAGGCAGCCGCCTTGCGCAGCTTTGGAAAGGAAGAGAATTTCAGAAAGTAACTCTCTCCAACCTTTTCTATCTATCTTTAGAAGTAGAGCGAGAGAAAGTCAATATGATATTTGCGTTGGTTTTTCCAACCAAACTAAGGACTTCTTTTTTCTCATTCGGAAAGGCTCAGTCCCACACTCTGACTTCAATGATGGGAACGCCCCGGCGCTCCAATGAACAAAAATTCTCCGCCTTACTATATTTAGAACAGTGGGCGATCTCTCGGGAGTTACATTCGTAACTTAATCTTATGTTCACGCGGTCATATTCTATCTTTCCAAGAGTACTACCCCGTACTTAGGCTATGTCTGGGGAGCATACTTTACAGGAGATAGACAGAGGCGGTAGAAAGGTCCCCCGCTTCGATTCCCGCCTCTTTAACATTTCCGACCTGAGATAAAGGATTACGCCGTCAAGTCTTTTCGGTCCGGAGCCGGCCAGTAATGGACCTACTTACCTTGCTTGGCTTGTAGACCGGCTGCGGAGCTAACCCCTGTTCTATTGGTTTGGTGGTTGCTAACCAAGACGATTTCTTTATGCCTATCAAAGGCCCTCGAGATGCTAATCCACGACGACAAATTCGAAAGAACTCATATACGGAACGAGGGAGCCCTGTGGAAATACATCGATTTCTTACTCGAAAAAGGAATTTATCTTGGAAACTTAGACAAGAACTAACGATCTTTGTCCCGGATATGAATTTACAAAAGTCTTTATAAAGCTTTCGTCTCAATTCATATTTAGCCCTGCGTTTGTGATCTCGTATATTTCGCTTCTCCGACATCTTGCTGAGTTTCTCCCTCATCTTTTTGCAAAAAGCCGCTCCACGGTGGTAAAGTCTCATCTTGTGTGTTGGCCGAAGTGACAATAGTCACATTGAACTCTCGAATATGCTCGAAGATCTCGAAATGATCTTCCAGTTCCGGGGATAATTCGCAAAACTCCGTTTCCATTGAGAATTGAATGGAGTTTTCCCGTATTTCAACCGCAGAATCTAACAGAGACATTACTGTGGAGATTCTGACCAAAAAATTAGACATTCCATGCCCTCGGAGAGTGCTTTGTCGTGCTAGGTCACTGACATATCCTTTTTTGTCTTTATTTAACCCCAAGAATGGATTGGATCGAAACGACTTTCCTGTCGAAGCTCTTTGTGTCTGTATTAATTTCTGACCGCACGAAATCTCCATAGCCAATTTTCCATTTTTGATATAAGGTGCTGCCTTTGGTACTACTCTTATTTTACACGATCCAGGAACTTCCATAACGTTGGCGTGATTCGGTTTGAGCAACGGATCCTGACGTGATACATCTTCGTAATGAAAATAGAGCGGAAACATGAGTTGCCTTTTCTAATATCTCGAGTCGTCGCGCTTTTGAATTCACAATTTTCTTATTGATTTATTATTTTTATTTTAATTCCATTTTCTTATAGCCCTCTATTTAAATATTTAAATTGAAGTGGGTTTCGCTTTTCCTCCATCCTTTGATCTTGGACATCTCACTTGGAATGATCTTCTATCTACGACACTGAACACTAACAGAATCCCGATTCAGTTAAGTACACGAAAATACACCTGCGAACTCGGATACCTTTCAGCATACCTTTAATTTGCCCTAGGCTACTTTCGATCTTCTCTTATTCAAGTGATTGATAGTTACAGGACGGGGACATCTCACTCCTAAAAGAAGGCTTTCTATTATTCTACGATAAAAAACTAGCTCTTTCCCGCAACTTGTTCCACAAACTCCAACTACTAGAAAGGCTGAAACTGACTCCAATCAGTCAACTACCATCCACGAGCGGATACCATCGAGTTATCGGCCAACAAGGTTCGATGTAGTTGAAAGGGAGCTCGTCCACTAGACATGCTACCTCGATTTTAGCGACCCATGCTTCATAAGTAGGTCCCGTGCCGTGCCGCCTAGCTCCGCATAGATTGATCGGATAGGTATGCCGGTTCACCCCTTCCCCTCATTAGCCAAGTTGGAAATGGAAGTGGTTGGCTTGCTACGACTAGCCGGAATGAGGAGGGTTTTCATGTCGGGTTCAACACCAAGGCAAGACAGCAAGCTACGAATAATCATCTAAGTGACTCTCCAGTTACGGCCGGGCTTAGGCCAAGAACCAGAAGGTCATGGGCGGGCCGGCTATAGGTTCGAATTCTGTCTTTCATTCAAAGCTAAGATCATAAATCCCCCGAGGGAAGGAGAGAAGCTAGAGCTAGATCTATGCCTAGGATCAGTCTTTAGCCTCTACTCATCTAGGCTGATTAGAGGCTAAAGGCCTAACCGCTGCTATTAAGTCAACTATTCTTGTTCAAGTTGTTTTTGCTTGAGTTGAATCAGCCGAGAGTTCATCAAGAGAGTAGGAAAGGAATAAGAGTCAAAACTGAGGCTAAATAGCGCTCGGCAAAGACTATGACGGAAAAGTTTGGATATTGGGGTTGGGGGATAAGCCCGAATATGATTGACCAAAAAGCCAAGGTTTTTGGAGATGCTAAGGGATCTGAAAATGCTATGAAATAGGGATAGGGGTAAGCCTGAGGATGAAGCTTTTAAGTTATTCTAGTCTAATAGCATTTATCTATGCCCTTTCCATTGTAAGCTAAAAAGTAGACATGCCGGAAAGAAAGCTAATCGCTACTGGTGACCATTTCCAGCCAGCTGTTCTGGTGGGTTTCAGTATTGTAGTTCAGAATAGACCTTCTTAGATTATGTACCCAGGGGTGCTAATGAGAAATTGGAAGACCTACTACGGACTGCTTTGAATAGTCACTATATAGTTGTCTTGGTTGGGGGATTCATGCCATAGCGTATCGGTTCGTCTTGCCGGCTAGAACGAGATGGTACTTGCTTTCCTAAAGAAATTGCCCTTGCTAATGCCTGCTTCATCGCCTTGACTTGAGCCTAGATCATCTACTTATATTAAAGAAAAGACCACCAGCCCACCTGTTTACCACATTTGCTGATGAAAGAACAGCAAGAAAGGGTTGTCCCTCGGTTTCACTCCCGTAAGCCGAATCGCTTTTTCACTAGTAAATTCCAATGTAGGCTCGATTGCTCAGTTGTATGCCTTTCCCTGTCTACCATTCCAGGCTTCCTTCAGAGCTAATGGCACGTGGTGGGGGAGATCAGAAAGGCTTAACTTAAGTTTGTTCTACGCTTTCAAAACTGAGCTTCATGGCGATCCTCGAATTGGGAGGAAGAGAACCAGCACCTCTTCTTAGCTACGTGAGTGCGGAACATGCTCTCTTCTTGATCTCATCAGCATAGGCCAGGCCGTTGAGTCGACGCCAGCCATACCAACCCTGAAAGGAGCGAGATTGATGGATAAAGATAGGTCGTCTAAGAGGTTAAGGTTCTCTAGGAAAGGAATTCAAAGTCAAATGGTTTCGAGTCCAGGAACTCTTACCCAAGCCATGACCGAATCAAACTGAGTTGTTGCCGGGTCGAATCCGAAACTCCAAGGTTGTGCTTGGAGATAGTGTCCTAGAACCACCCATGGTCCTTCCAAAAGAGCTCTGGTGGCATCTTCCTCCGCCCGGAATCTCACAATGTAGTAGTCATTCTGAAGGTCAATGACAGAGTATCCCTTAGCATCAGGCCATAAAGTTCTCAACCTGTTGCACAGAGTCTGGAAACTAATGGGTCTACCCATCAATTTGACAATGACCGCGTTCCTCCATTTCCTCGCCAACAGATCTAGCACCCTCTGGGAAAGCAGCACTGAAGGGGTTCTTCCTTTCCACACTACTACAATGTCATCCTCTGTTATCTCGAAGTCATCCTCGTCGGAAAATCCGCATGCACCCCCGATGTCCCTTCATCAAACTCCTTCGTCCTTAGCTTCTTTGTCTTTCTATCCTTATCCAGCGGCGAGGCATACAAAATAAGTAGAATCTTCCTCATCTTTGAAGTGGGAATGCTCAAATAGAGAGTCAAAATCATAATATGTGAAAGCTTGCCCGATTGAATACAAAGTTGAACTGCATTCCTTAAACCCTCGTAAGGTATTTCTATCTATCACTCGTTACGCCGAATCAATCAACAAGCAACCAAAATGATCTATCTTCAAGGCTGCGAAGGCGCTGATACGATTGAACCCGATACAATGACCTCAAGGATAGTTGTCTTATTCTTTTGTTTTTGGGATAGGGATATTCCACCAACTAACTTCACCTGAGGAATGAATGCAAGACTAGCGGACTTAGCCTATGGTGCTAAACCTGAAAGAACAGATACTCCATCTTCAGCCCTTATCCCGAGTAGAAGAGAAGAAGGGGATTACTTCCCAGCGAAAGAGAAGGTGCACTAACAGCCGGCTTAGACCACTATCCTATTATCAAGGAGATTTCACCTGACTTCGAAGAATGTAAGGCTCGGACTGCTCTTAGGACCCCTGGAAGTAAGACTTCGACGGATTGGGATGGACCACTCACGTACATAGGAATGGAGACCTAAAGGGGCTATGCTAGTACACGATCGAACATCAAGAAAGAGAAAGAAGGAAATGAGCCGGGAAAGGCCGGCCAAGCAATAAAGTAAACGCTTACTGGCTGATTCTCTTTCTGAGTCTGAGCGCTAATCTTCTTCTGACCGTACTTCCCGAGGCTTTGGTTCTTTTTTAAAAAGATGCTGCTGAAAACTGCAAAGGCTATGACCTAGAGTATGAGCTGCTCCGAATCTTGCCTCGTTCTTTTGCTTTCTTTGCTATCACCCCTCATCAACCGGCCATAAAAAGGAAGAGTTTGATTTCTTTTTTTTTTGGTACAAAGAAGGAGGCTAAAAGCCTAGTTACAAGCGGGTACAAAACGGGGATGAGCTACCCCCATAATGTCATGCCTAAGCCATTGTCTAACAATAGGTGGCGGTTCATCAAAATAGTTAATTCCCCAATAGGGTGACCAAAGTCCTGCCAAGCAATCCGCAGCGTGGTTTGCTTCTCTATAGATATGTTCCAATCTGACCCTCCATGGCCTGTTGAGCAACTCTCTAATTCCGAGGATTAGACCACCGTGAGCTGTTGTGAGACTTCGGGTTCCTTTGATCATCTGGATCACACACTTGCTGTCCACCTCTGCAATAACATGTGTTTCTCCTCTGTCCCATGCTAACTGCAAGCCGTGATAGAGTCCCCATAGTTCTGCGCCAGTGATAGAGGTGCTTCCAATGTTTACATGAAATCCACCCTTCCATCTCCCTAGGTTGTCCCTCAGTAGTCCTCCAGCTCTTGCACTTCCTGAGGTCCGGTCGAAAGCCCCATCGGTGTTCAATTTGGTCCATCCCTGTTGCGGTGGTTCCCATGCTATTAACCGATGTTCCCACCCAATACCAACATGACCCATTCTCTTAGTGCTAGCCAGTGTTATTTTAACTTCCATGATCTTTCTTGCAATCACCCCCAGCTTTCTTCCACCAGATGGGTTGTTGTTAGAAAAGACAAGCTCGTTTCTCCAATTCCAAACCATCCAACATATTATCCCAAAAGAAATAGCCCAATTGCTCTCCATAGCAGCTGATCTAGAGAGTAGATTTGTCAGCAGCCATTGTTGGACGTCATCCTCAAAGAAGCTTCTCGCTTTGTCCGCCGGGAGGAACTGATTCCATAAAATTAGAGAGAAGGGGCAGTCTCTTAATACATGCATAGTAGATTCCTCTGCTAATTCGCATCTAGGGCATACTGGAGAGGTTGCAATATGACGCCTGTACCTCTCTTGATTTGTCATCAAAGCTCCTTTCGCCGCAAGCCAAAGACACGTCTTCACTCGTTCCGGCCCTTGCCAACTCCATATTGCTTTCCAAAGTGGCGAATTCGGTCCCTGGGGTGTGTTCTCTATCAGATTGTAAGCTGATCTAAACGAGAAATCTCCACCCTCAGATGGCTCCCATCGTCTTCTATCTTCTCCTCTGATTTGATTCGGCGGCATGGTGGCTGCTATTTTCATCAATTCAGTTGCCGGCAACAAGGGTTCAAATAGCGACCAGTTCCATTGGCCATGCTGATTTACAAATTTGTAGGCTTCCCAGTCCAGTTGATGTTCAGGAATTGGACCTATAGCCTTTTCGCATAGTGGACCCTGGCCCATAGTCCAAACATCTTTCCAGAATCTGATAGTTCTTCCATCATTTAGGCTCCATTTCACTCCTTTGAGCAGAGGGCTCCATGACTTTTTGATGGAGTTATAGACTCTCGATGCAGCAGAGGATTTGAAATCACTCGGCCTAGGTGAGTTGGGCAGCTTATACTTCCCTCTAAAGGCTTGAACCCACAAAGCATCCTGGTCCTCTAACAGTCCCCAACCCAGCTTCATCATAAAAGCTTTATTCATCTCCCTGGGCTTTTTCAGCCCAAGGCCACCCATTTCTTTCGGGCAGCATACTTCCTCCCAGCTAACTAAGCTTAGCTTTTGAGAATCATCGTCTTTGTGCGGTGACTCCTTAGTAGCTAATGGAAGCGAAACCTATCTTTACTTGATAAGCACGCTCGCGCTGTAGGACTCGAATTAAATCACTTCAACCGATTACACGTATGTGTTAAGCATATAGCCAATAGTTTTTTAGCTACTGCCCTTTGCTCTTACAAGAAAGTAAGTAATCTAAATGCCCGCCCTTTCTACGCTAGGATCTATCTCATCTCTTTTATATTAAGTTAAGATATGGTAATTCATCAGAGGAGCTCTTTCTTTGCATCTATCCCCTTCCCTTCTGTCCTGCTCCTCTATTAGATCTACCTGCGGTTTGTCTACGTTCTGATCGGAGATGAAAAGAAGGGTCGTCGTCCCCTTCGCCTTATTTTAAAGCTCACCTAAAAATCCCAAAAGTCCTACTAGTTCGAGTTCGCCTGGCACTTTGGTAAGGCCCCGATCTAACTAGATGTTGTTCGATTTCCTGGGGGTTGGCTAGAGAACCTTTTCCCTCACTTGCTGTGCAATGAGTCATGGATAAAGGCTGATTTTATAGGCGCTTTAGTTTAAATGCTTTTGTAATATGAGACAACTCACTTGCAGTCCAAGGAAGTTATGCTCGTGGTGTTGTGATTTTCTTATTTATCAAATCCTTTCTGGCGCGTTAGCTGTTTTTCCTACCACTTCTTGTGAAAGGTCACAAGGGCTACCTGTTTATGAAGAGATACAGGGGACTCTGGCCCCAGCCTTATACTTCCCCACCCTTTTGCACCTACCTGACTCTATTTCGGACCTGCCAACCAAGAAAAACTATCTATATTTAGTCACTTAACTTAATAGAATATCCCTCTTCGAGTTCGTATTCAATGTAAATTGTAACTTACTCTAATGCCACCTCAACCCCCGATCGTTGAGCATCTGAGAACATCTCCGGCATTGTCGAGGGAAAGTCAGATAATCGGAAGAATTTGCCTTCACGCCTATCCCATCGATCGGAACTGGCAACAGATCTTTCAGCGAATGTAGCAGCGGATCAATATCAGCTGTGTTCCACTCCTGCTACTGGGTAAACTCCAAACCAACACTCGGGAACGGAAGCCAAACTACTTCTTCTTTTTCCATTGATTGACTTGACTAACGGTTGAAATGGAATCTTTTACCGCTGGATCAGCCGAGAGTTCAAGAGATGAGAATGAGGATCCGGATTCACTTCTTGAAGAGGGAATAGCAGGCGAAAGGCACATCTATGACTTCATACCGAATTTGCCATAGAAGGGCTCGATCCCAGACCTGGGGCGAGAAATGCTTTTGATTGAACGAAGCCAAGGGGCGAACGGGAAATGCTTTAGGGAACAACCAAGTACCATCCGACAGTCTTAAAGAGTGAAAGAAGCTGGTATTCATAAGCGGGACGACAGCTCTAGAAGAGGGGCTTGGGTTTAATTCTAGGGAGTTGGGATAAATATCGAGTGAGCCTCTCTTCCTTTTTGGTGTCTCAAAATGGCTAAACAGAAAAGTACTTGAAAGTCAACCTGAAATAGAACGTATAGAAGCCAGATCTATAAAATGAGGCTACAATCCTCCACTTGGCTTTCTCGGGGAATATTGAAAGAAACCCCCGTTTGATTAATGAATCGATAAGACAAGAAAAATTCCTAGGTTTGAAGCAGACGCCGAAACAAATGCCCGTGGTCTTTTTCATACTCCTGCTGCTTGTCCATAAATGAGCTGATACCGTGAGATTGCTCCAGAGGTAGTACGACGACCCCATGAACAGACAGAAGAGAGAGAGCACAGATAGAAAGCGAACCAACGACATAATCGTATCATGAATCCTACTTTCAGTCCTTATCATGCTAGTTTAACAAATACTTATCATAGAACGCACATACTAGGCTTAGGATTGAGGTACTCGTTCAAGCGGTTAGTGTCAACCATTATCGAGAGATATATGACCAGGAATATTTCGAGTTTCTGGTATTAGAACGAAAGGGCGTCTTGCAAGACAAGCTCAAAAATCTAATGCTTGAAGATTGGTCGCATTCTAGAGTTCTCTCCTTATAATAACATAAGAGAGGCGGCCTCCCTGACCACACACTTTCAAAGAAGAGAGGGAATGGGCTAACGGCCTACCTTACCTTGGAAGGCTAACTAACAAAGTCACAAAGAGTTGGAATCGAAAGCGGTGGGTACCCCAGGCATTGATTCCCATAGCGCCGACCGGGGGGGGTTAGGCAACAGTCGCGACCTACTTTAATTCAAAACAAAAGAAAGGCGAAGGTTTTGGCAACAAGCAAACGGCTTTCTATCATAGTTGCAATGGAGCGTCTGCACTAGGATCTTCTTTATTCTTATAGCTTCACTTCGCTCCGCTTCGTTCCTTCCTCCTGCTTACACATCTTCGTTTCCTCTCTCCGCTGGGAACTCTGACTATGGTGTGCTAGCTGGAAATTCTTTCACCACTGATTATGTAATATATCTTCACTACTTGAAGATTACCTGTAATGCAGTATAAAAAAGTGTTGCAGTCGCTTATAAAGAGTTGAATCTTTAACCCGGCATTGCAAGCAAATAGAGAGCCCCCGCCTGTTTGAGTCGCGAAAGGGCCGCTTGCTTAAATTCTATTTTTTAATGAATTATAATAATATAATAGAAAAAATATTCTATATCTATCTATAAACAATAAAAAGAAAGATATTTTTTGTTCATTCCTGGGAAGAGGAAGAAGCAGATAGAGCAAAGGCCTCCTCTTTCCTTCCCGAAGTGAGCGAATTGCATGTAGAGATTCGTAGGGGCTTATAGTTTAATTGGTTGAAACGTACCGCTCATAACGGTGATATTGTAGGTTCGAGCCCTACTAAGCCTACCACCCCCTTCTCTTCACCTGATACAAGGCAGTCGAAGGAGTAGTGGGACCAAGCATCACTACCATAGGGCTTTATTCTTATAGCTTCACTTCGCTCCGCTTCGTTCCTTCCTTCCATCTCGCAGACGAAAACTTCCCAGCCACAATCTGACGGGGGAATCCGCCTAGGGGTCATAACGGAGAAGCAAGCGGAACAGATCTCATTCGCTTAGCTACTTGCCTCAGGTATTCCCACAACAGCGGATGGTCAAACTGAGGTAACGAATAAAACTTTCTTCTCCGATTGGGATACCCTCTGGCTAAGCCTAAGGACAAAAGAGGAAATGTGGATAGATAGCCGGCTAGAGCAACTAGATCTATATCCTCAGAAGGAAAGGTCTTTCATTCCTATTAAAAACTTCTGGTACTAAGAAGAACTTAGTCCCCGTTGATAAGAAGAACCCCTTTCTCCGGGCAGAGATAGCTGTTTCTGACGAAAGGGCTTACTCAGTTAAGACCAATGGTACTAAAACCGTACCTACTTTCTTTACTTACTGCGCCTACTTCCTTTCATTCCTCTCTCTTATGGTCGAGCTCCTTCGGACTTTTCAAATTGACTTCTGAAAGCAAGTTCTAGTGTAATCTACGCCTGTTAGACTGCCGGGCTGTAATGGATTGGACTATGAATACTTCTTTCTAGTGAAAGAAGGATATCGTATCGGGTTGGACCCGCTCTCTTCAGGTCTTTGCAATTCCTGTGGGAACCGCACCACTTTCAGCCTTTGTATCCACATAACGAGAAGCCCTCTTTTAGTAAAGCTTCTCTTCATCAGCGACTTTCGCGAATGCCTTCTATCGACAAAGAATCTCCTGAGTTAGCAGCCTGCCCTACTTATCTAGCCGGTCTTTGCTAGGTTTACCCTGGAAAGAAAGGTTGTTGGCAAAAGCCTGGGTTAGGTGTGTATTTGGTTGCCACCAGCTCTTAAGCACACCCATTGGCATTGACTGCATGGGATCGAAAGACTTCCGGTTTCGTGAACGTGTCTATAACTTTCTCATGGCTCAGATTTGGATGAATACACGGGAAGCCCAGAGATCTCATTTGGCATTGTGCGGCTTCCTTAATTGCACTAGCGCACTCAGGTGAGCAACAAGCCGTTGGTTGAACCAATAGGGGATCGAGTGTAGTATACGAAACTAGATGAGAGAATTTGCGATAGGGCTGTGCTAGAACTAAAAGAAGAGCTCAAGGAAGAAAGAAAACCAAATAAATGTTACAGTCAATGCGTAAATAATTGCTTAAGAAAGGAAACCTATTAGTCTCTTCTCGTATTGAAAGTGAAAGGTCGCCAACCAGGGTGAAAAGATAGGCAGCAAGGAAAGCAAAGGGAAAAGAATGGTAAATTCCTTCGATCAATCAGATCTCTATCCGAACTCAAAGTCAATTGAGAAAGTCATTCAAAGAACAAACAAGACAAACACTGAAATTAATATATATGAGCAACCATATAATAGTATTTTATGATCTCTGAATACGATCTGAAACTTGAAGGGGTGCCCGTTTTTGAACCAATACAGGGAACCCCTAGCCCAAGATCCTTCGATTTCTCTGACCTGAAGAAAGCGTAAGCCCTTACCACGCGTCAAGTTGAATAAATGAATGCAGCCTCAACCGTAAGTAACTTAGTGCATGTGCCTTTAAAAAAGAAAATGAAATACGAACAACCGCGCTGGTCGTAATAGATTTTTGAGTTAAGAAGTTTTAACATGAAAACCTCATCTACTCATCTGTGTAGGTTTCGTCCATTTACATATTCGTTTTTGATTCTGCTTACTGTGGTTGGAATTGCTTTTTGGCTGTTATTTTTTCTTGGTGCCATTGATCTTTTTTGGGCCTTGCTCTCAAAGGCGGGATGCTCCTTTGGTAATCGAGCCCTGTCTATTTTTTTATTAAAAATGACAGGCTGCTCCGGCGGTGTGGCATTTGTGCTTTCTTTCGCCTGGAGAGCGTTGAATGGAATGATACTTCCCGATCTAGTATGTTGGATGGATAAGACCCATGGGTGGACATCCATCTTGGGAAGCAGCCTTGGCGGAAATTCCATAGACTCTTCCCAGGGGAGCGTCAATCAACCGGTGCCCGACTCCCCGGAGCCTGTTGCCCCTGCAGCGCCTCTTAATCCTGAGGTTGCTCAGCCCGACGAAGATAGGCTGCAGGAGCTAAACGACCGCCTCCACATCAATTCTATAAACCTTCAATTGACCACGGAGCAGCATGAGTCTATTTTAGAAACCCAGCTAGAAATTGAAAAACAAATAGAAAGAGCTCTGCTTTCCGATGGATATTCCAGGGAATCCTTGATTGCAAAGAGACATCAGATAAGGGGTCTTTTGTTTTACCCAAGAGGGACCCCTTTTTCTGAATCTACCTACTTACAATATCTTAACCAAATCGGAAACAATGGGGTGCACCACAGCATTCCCTATCGCCGTATTATCGAAGCAATCGAGAAGAATGATCTATTTATAGAATAATTACAAGAAAAAAGGATAGATTTTGAGTTAGACTATATACGTTAAGAATAATAGGTACCCCCACCCCAGGCAGAGTTAGTGAGCCGTGTAATAGGCGACCATTTCGCGCGGTTCGGGGGGCACTTGAGTTAGCCGCCGGCGCCCGACAGCGTCTTGACCCCCATCCAACTTTTGGGCCAATTCCCCCTTCGTACTACCAAAAAATGAGATTCTTGCCGAATCCGAGTTTGCTGCTCCAACCATTATAAAACTAATACCGATTCTATTTAGTACTTCAGGTGCTTCTGTTGCGTATAATGTAAATCCCGTAGCGGATCAATTCCAACGAGCCTTTCAAACTAGTCTTTTTTGTAATCGACTCTATACTTTTTTCAATAAACGCTGGTTTTTCGATCAAGTTTTGAATGACTTTCTAGTCAGATCGTTCCTGCGTTTCGGATATGAAGTCTCATTCGAAGCTTTAGACAAAGGTGCTATTGAGATATTGGGCCCTTATGGTATCTCGTACACATTCCGACGATTGGCTGAGCGAATAAGTAAACTTCAAAGTGGATTTGTTGTGCGAAGGGTGCGTTATGACCTGTGGCCGCCTGCCTGGTGGGGGCGGCTCCTCCGTTGTGGGTAAACGGGAAACCCGACTCTACGAACCCAAGGAAAGGCTGCACAGCAGTAGTAGGGGCGTTAAGACCGGAGCTTTTTGTAGTGCTAGCAGGAATGCAAGTGAATGAATCCCATCCCCTGGCGAGTGAAGTGCTTACGCCCCTTTAGAGATAGGGGCGAGTCAAAGAGCTCGTTCTTCAAATTTAAGATCTGTAGATTCGTAAGATCATAAAGGCCCTTTACTTTCTATTCTATTAGTCAAGCGCTAGCGTCCTACAACTAGAATAGTATAGCAGAGCCGCCAGCTTCATACCTTATTATTAGAGAATAGGGCGCGCTAGCGCTTGACTGATAGAAAGGTTAGGGGGCTGAGAAGCTGTTGCTTTCTGCTTGCTGTCTACTTCGCGAGCCTTCACTGCCCCATTATGTAACTTCCTAGCTTTCGTCCGTCCACGAGGCTATAAAAAGAGAGAAAGGGGCGGCTATCTAGCGGGAGTCGTTTCGGTTGTATGCCGCGGGTCCCTATGAACAAGGGGACAAGTAAATCATCGCTTTTTGGCGCAGGCAGCCCTCTACCATCTATCCCATTGCATTCCATCGTCTTGTATTGTACTGTACCGTATCAGACCAGATAGATCTATTGAGTGAGAGAAAGGAAGTGTAACTAATTCTATATTCTTTTTTTATTGATAGGGATCCCCATTCATTCCTAGATTCCCGTCACTACGGATTGATTGTCCCTACCTAACTACATGGTAAGTGGTCTAGGGAGCGCAATTGCTAGAGCACAGGAGAATGAAGAGTAATGATTTCAGCAAGAGCAGCCAGACGGACTACTATAGTGAGTCTAGTGACTACTAGACTAGATTATAGTCAAAAGGTATGGTATAGCAGCCTTTCCGAGCGAGCCTCTGGGATCTCCTGTAAACCCCCATGATGTGGTAAAGGGAGGATATTAGGGGAAGCAGTGAGTGGAGATTCCCCTGCAGAGAGCCGGATGAGGGGAGACCTTCACGTCCGGTTCGGAGGGCGGGGATATCCCGACCCTACTATCATTATGCCTTTGCAATGTTACTTGGTTCAACTCTATTTGTGACCTTTTCTCGTATGTGGGACTCTCTTTCTTCTTGGGTAGATAATCGACCGTCTTTCATTTGGATAGTGAGTTGTTTTTATAATAAAAAGTAAGTAATACAAATCGAACTGGAGAAGTGAACTCGCCCTAATCAATAAGCGGGAGAGGAGCGAAAAGGCAGGATGGCTTGGTAAGCAAGCAATCCGTTATGTAGATCCCAGTTCTTTCTCTTCTTTCTTTTACAGTTCTTGTTTAGTGTCAATAAATTGTCCAAGATTGTGCTAGATCGAGCACGCGACGCGCATAGTCTTAAGTCCGGTTGTATTCTCTTCAACATTTTTACTACTCCCCTCGCCCTTTCAGAGATCCCCTTGCTTCAGACAAAGCTCTATCCGGTGGCCATATTCCCCACACTCAAAAGCATATAAAAGCCTTCGTATTCGACCCTCTGGATGTCATCATTAAGACAAAACTGGGAACTCTTTGTTTTTTCAATTCTATCCCCACACGTGCATATAGACCTCTAGATGAATCCACTGTGTATTGATCAGCCCGGACTGCTTTGACCAGTTTCTTCCCAGGTTCATTAAAAAATGAAATCGGGATCTCTGGAAGACGCACCCAGACTAAGGTAGATGAAAATTGGATGGTCTGAAGTTTGGTCTCCACTTGCAAACAGTTATATAATGCCCTCTTTCCACCCAGCGACCATTTCGACACGTCTTCGTTCGTTTACCCCCCCGGCAAGAAAACGGATGCGCTAACCTGACTTTAATCTAAAGCCCTTACTCTAAAGCAATTGAATACAATA